TTACTATCTGGGCTACAGACACAATGAATAATTAGGTCTGGTCCTTGCGGTCCTCCTCGATCCCAGGGAGACTGCACAGTGTACTGTCCTCTTTGTCCTCAATCTCCAGCCTCAACCGCCCACGACTACACAGTGGGGAACGCCGTCCGGTTGGGTGTGTCTGGCCTGATCCTCCTGGTCCTCGGGGGGCTGCTGTTTGAAGCTTGGCACAGCCAGAGAAGACCCCGCGACGCGGCCAGGAGGTGAGCACAGGAGACAACAAACCCACCCTCCAGGAAGGCAGACGCTGGGAAAGAGTCTGATGATGCCCAGAAGCCCTGGAAGAAACCGTGGGAAGCGTGGGAAAGTGTGTGCAGAGGCCGTGGGGGCTGTGGGCGTGGTCCTCACGCGGGGAGGCGGCGGGGCTGCGGCTGCGGAGGCTCTTCCACAGTTAAACTGGGGTCGCCTCCCTTCCCGCCTCTGCTGGGTTTCCCGGACCGGCCCCTCTTCCCTCACCCCATTGACCTGGGGTCGCAGCCCCCTCGCAGGTCAGACCCACACCTGTGCTCACCTTCTACCTCTGGTCCACCTTCATGGACGACATTTTTCTTGCTTTTTTTTTCCACAGACACTGATTGTCTAGGTCGTTGGATCAGACAACAAATACGTTTTAAACAACTGATTAAGTGGATAAATACCAAGAATAGTTAGGACTTTAGACGGGGACATCGGAGTCGTGGTTTCCAGAGGGAAGGGGTCAGACTGAGACAGAAGACGGTAAAGAGAGAGAAACATACGCGGAGGAGGGGAGGTTTCACTTTGGAAAGTGAACACCATGCGCTGTCCAGACGGTGTGTCGTAGGACTGTGTGCTCGAAACCTCTGTCATCTTTTTAAGATTTCATTTGTTATTTTTTTAGAGGGGGAAGGACTAAGAGAGGGAGAGAATCATGGATGTGTGAGGAGACATAGATTTGCTGCCTCTCGCAGGCCCTCACCGCCCTCAGCGGGGACCTGGCCGCCACCCTGCCCTGTGCCCTGACCAAGGATGTAACCAACAGGTGCCTCCCTGGTTTGCAGGGCGGTGCTCCCCCTCCCCCTTCCCCCACCCCAGCCGCACCAGCCAGGGCTGACGCCTATGTAACTTTACTAACTAATGTCACCCCAATCAATTTAATTTTAAAAGCCTAGTTTGGAGCCAATAAATCTAAAACCATGGAACACACCGCCTGTCTCCTCAAGGATTTCTGATCAAGTATCAGAAAGTACTTGGTGTACCAGCTCCAGGAAAACACCGTTGTTGATTTTTTTTTTTTTAAGCCCTGATTTGAGGCACTTGCCTGATTCCTGGGTGTAGATGCTTCTTGAGCGCCGAGAGAGCCGCCCACCACCCTCCCCCGGAGCCCCAGTCCCGCTGCGCCTCCACCCGCCTCACCGAGTCCCGGCCGCGCACCCTGTCGGGCCGGGCGGGCCAGGGACCTGCGTGGGTTACTTTGCCTGACGTGCTCAGGGCCGGCTCCGGGGGCGCACGGGGCGCCGCGACCCGCTGGGCCCAGAGCGCGGGCTTTGCCGCCGACCTGTGGGTGCGCAGCGCGTCTCGCCCGGGCCCGAAGCCACGGCAGCGCCACCCCGCTGGCTTCCAGGGCTCGGGCAACCTGCGTTGGGGGCCGCAGAGTCCCGGGCCGGAGTCGGGCCATCCTCCCGGTCGCCCGGCACTTGGTCCCGGTCCTACACCTGCGCCGCCGCCGCCAAGAGCCACCGCGGTCCCTTCTGGGCTGCGCCAAAGCCACCACTGGTCCTCGCCCCTCCGGTCGCCCTGTGAACGCGCACAGGCGAGCGCCCCGTGCTTGCAACTCGCCTGGCCGCGACAGGAAGTTCGCGTGCGGCGACCAGCGGCCCGCCACCACCGGATGCACACAGGGCTGAAGCGCTTCCCTGCGCAATGCTGCCAGCGCTTCACCTGCGCAGCGACCACCACCGCCGGCCCCGCCCTAGCTCAAACTGGGACAACTATAATACAACAACAATAACAAATGATTCCTATAAAAACGAAAACATTATTCCACAAAGCAGTTGTGAAGCTCCCTAGATGATGCATGGGTCACAGAATACGAACGTCATTCCTTTACAATTATTAACCATCGGCAGCTTTTGAGGCGGTACCCTCTCAAGATCGCCGAGAACAAGGAGCATCAATGCGTAGCTTCCCCTTCGCTGTGGGACCTTAAACGGCTAAAACGTCCCTGGTAACACACACACTATGAATCTTTCCTGGCTGAGGGTACAAGGGGTTCCCTGGTGGCCCCCGTGTCCCAGAGGCGGCGTTTCCCGACTTGGCTGAGCTCCCAGGGAGTGACGGAGACCCGGGCCGGGGGAGGCGGGGAGGCTGCCCAGGGCCCAGCAGGACCAGGCTGCCGGGGCCCCGGTTCCCCGCTGCCGCAGGCGCGCTCTCAGCCCTGGGCCGCAGGCACGGGCAGGGGCGGCCGTGGCCCCTGCCGTGGGCTGGCTGGGCAGTTGCGCTGAGGGAGGCCTTGCATTTCAGCCACGTGGGAGATGGGGGGGTCGGTTCCAGGGCAGAAAGTTTTGTAGGAAACCGAAATACCCAGAACCACCTCCGACAACTTCAGAGCAACGAGCCCAGGAGTCCCCGGAGCGGGGGATTCGGAAGCGGGGATGGCAGAGCTACGGGGCTCCCTGCACGCTCCTCACTGACCGTCTGCTCCCGGGAGGCCCGTCCCCGCGGTCCGCTGCGGCCGCTCTTCGCTGCGAGGGAGTCTGCTCCCAGCGAGCTGGTCACTATAGCAACTTGCATTAGGATTTTTGTGTGTGTGTGATCCTTGGCAAGTACTTACTGATTTTTTTTTAGCTGAAATTCATAGAAGATGATATTAACCATTTTAATGTGTATAATTCAATGTAAGATAGGATTTCCCCATCTGAATTTACCCCTCACTTGCTTCATTTACCACAAGAGAACAGGATTCGGATTTCATTTTTCAGTACACGCCCCCTGGCCCTTAGTTCTTCTTCCTCATCTCTGTAAAAATGTTCGTTTTTTTTTACCTCTTGAGCTGTTACTGAATGTCAAGCTCGTTTCTTTCTTTGTGACGCCATAGATACGGCCTGGCCCTCCTCACGTTAGTCCTGCAGTGCGGTCATTCCCCACTTCTGTTCTCCCCACGCTGCGTTCGGGAAACTTCCCCTACACTGTGCTCCACCTTCGTACCTTGACCTTCAGCTGGGTCGCATCCTTGATGGGAACCATTGTTTTAATGCGTCCATTCCATCGAATTGTTCATCTCCCAGATTTCCAACTAAAAACATCCCTCTGCAAAAAATTCATATCCCTGACTCAAAATTTGAATCCTGCCTTAATGTCTCAGGTACTTAAACATGACCATCTTAAGTCACTTTCCTATTTTCCTACTGACTCTCTTTGCGTGTGACGGCTCCCAGCATCAGGAGACGGCCGTCCATACCACTGTTTGTCTACTGTCCATTTTTGTTGGAAGTCTCTCCTCCACCTGGTCCCCCACAGGTTCCCCCAGGGCTGTCCTGGGAGTCAGGTTCACCTTGGGCTGTGGCCGCTGCCCCCGCCCCATGGCGTCCACTCGCGCAGACTCAGCACCTGCTCAGCCTTCTGCCCACCAGGGCTGGTCCAATGGGAGCCTCACACGCACGCACGGGACAGGCACCCATGGCTGACATACACGACTCAGCCTGTGTCAGGACACACAGGGGAGACTGCTCACTGCTGACCATGGACTTGGGCCAGTGGGCAGACAGCCCAGAGCCCGCACAGAAACACGGGGAAGGGACCACGGTCCCGCCTTCACCTGCATGATGACCCCCTTCCTGGGAGGACCTGGGGTCCCTCTCGGTCCACTCAGGGGGCAGTCTCCTCCCTATGACCCGTGGAGAGTCCCAGCCACTGGGGGCCACTCAGTTTCAGCCTCTGTTCTCCACTGTGGTTCCCTCTCTGTTGGGAAACTTTCATTTCTCTTTCCTGCACACGTCGGTGCCTCCATGCTTGGCGCCATGGTGAGTAGCTGCGCTTGGTATTCGGAGCAGACAAGGTCCCGAGCGGGTGCAACAATCCTGCCCTTGACCCGGGCACCTTGATCCTCTCATGTCCCAGCCCATTCACACCTTCACCGAGTCCAGAAATGGGCGTCTCCCTCCCATGGCCCAGCACCACTGGCCCCCAGCCACCGTGGGGACTGTGGTTTGTGACAACGTGGTCCAGAGGGGGCAACTGGAACATGACCACACAGAGTCCTCGGGCACTGGGTGATGGTTATATAAATAAATACTTGTTAAAAGTAAACATCAGGGCTCCTACCCAAATCAATGTCCCCTAAGGCTTGAAGGCAGGACCACAGCATGAGGAAGAGGCTGTAGCCAGGAAACAGGGGGCACTGAGGGGGCAGGAATCGCTCAGAGGCTTTTTTCCCAGAAGGTGGGATGGAAGCTGTTTCTAAGAAGAAAAGGAGAAGTCCGTTTGGTGGCTGGGAGGGAAATAAGCCACACTCTGGGGCCAGGGGAAGGGGCGTGTGTCCTTCCCCCACTTCCCTGTACGTGTCCTTTGTGCGCATGGTCACAGCGACACGCGCCTGGACGGCACAGTGAGAAGGAGACCGTGTCTCTGCCGCTCTGAGCTCTGCAGGCACAGGGACCCCCGTCTCCCTGAGCGTCTCCAGGACCTGGGTGACCCCTGTCCATGGGGAGGACCCACGGGGAGGTGCTGATGGCCGGGCGGAGGGTGAACGGGACCCCGTGGGGGAGGCTCTGTCCTGGAAGGATGTACCTGGGTCACCTCACCTGCGAGTAGCGTCTCAGGAGCCTCTGGGTCTAGTTCTTCCTCCATCAGGGGAATGACTGTCTCCCTTCCTGAGGGGCTGCTGACATGACAACCCCGTGACAGGGACGACCAGCCTCCCAGGGACCACAGCCTACGTGTCTGTCCACCCGGAGGACTCCGTGGTCTCTTCCTCCTGCACAGCCGGCTTCAGAGAGGAGACCATGCCCCCGACGCTCACGGCCCTGCTCTGCCTCGGTGAGTGTCGGGGGAGGGGAAGGAGGAGCCCTGCTCTGCCAGGACCCAGGGCTCAGGACACTCCCGGGGAGGGGGGCTCTGCTCAGGACTCAGGGCACATCCCTCACGGGGACTCTCTTGCAGGGCTGAGCGTGGGCCTGGGGACCCCAGTGCAGGCAGGTGAGTCTGTCCTCAGGGGCCCCGGGTCTCTCTCCACCTAAAGGACAAAGGACCACCTCCTCAGGCAGTGAGGATGATGAGCAAAAGTTCTGGGTTAACGATTGGAGGGTTTCTGGGAAGTCCTTGGGCTGTGAACTGGGGACTAGGGGTGACAATCTCATGATCCAGCCTGTGATTCCTTCCAGGGACCCTCCCCAAACCCACCCTCTGGGCGGAGCCAGGCCCTGTGATCCCCTGGGGGAGCCCGGTGACCATCTGGTGTCAGGGGATCTTAGAGGGTAAGGAGTACCATCTGAATAAAGAGGGAAACCCAATGCCTTGGGAGAGACGGAAACCACTGGATCACGGAAACAAGGCCAAGTTCTCCATCACACTAGTGACAGAGCGCACGGCAGGGTTATATCACTGTAACTATCGGAGCCCCACGGGCTGGTCAGGGCCCAGTGACCCCCTGGAGCTGGTGGTGACAGGTGAGAGGACACTCAGGGGTCCCTGCCTCGGGCTCCGCTCTCAGGGAGGGGGATGCTCTCAGGGTGTCTCCCCCTCACAGCCCAGCCCTGGGGGAAGTGAGGAGGCTGAGCCCCATTTACCACGCTGCCTCCTTCTCTCCTAGGGGTCTACAGCAAACCCAGCCTCTCGGCCCTGCCCAGCCCTGTCGTGACCTCAGGAGGGAACGTGACCCTCCAGTGTGGCTCATGGGAGGGATTTGACAGGTTCATTCTGACGAAGGAAGGAGAACGCAGGCTCTTCTGGGCCCTGGACTCACAGCGACACCCCAGTGGGCAGTCCCAGGCCCTGTTCCCTGTGGGCCCCGTGACCCCCAGACACCGGTGGAGGCTCAGGTGCTATGGCTGTTACACGGACAGACCCCAGGAGTGGTCACAGCCCAGTGACCCCCTGGAGCTGCTGGTCTCAGGTGAGGAAGTCCCGTCTGGGACACATCCATGGATTGAAGCACCAGCCAGGTCACTGGGGGCCTTGCTGGGAGGGGAGCCCACGTGAGAGGTTGGGGAGAGGGGCGCACAGGGGCTCCTGGGCCAGAGGCACAGAGAGAGACAGTGGGACCTGGGGCCAGGCCAGGGGGAGGGTCCATGGGACGGGCAGCCCCTGTCACTCACCTCTGGTCCCTGCAGGAGGCTCAGGGAAGCCCTCCCTCCTGACCCAGCAGGGCCCCATCGTGGCCGCTGGACAGAGCCTGACCCTCCAGTGCCGCTCGGACCTCGGCTATGACAGGTTCGCTCTGTCCAAGGAGGGGGCACAGGACCCCCCCCAGAGCACTGCCCTGCAGCCCCGGGCGGGGCTCTCTGGACATGGTGCGGGGATCCCACGGGGGCCGGTACAGGTGCTACAGGGGACACAGCCCCTCCTCCGAGTGGTCGGCCCCCAGTGACCCCTTGGACGTCCTGGTGGCAGGTGAGGAGCCTGTGCAATCAATCAGGACCCTACAATCTGCTCAGGCCCTGCTCGGGTCTCAGGTGGAGATGGCCAGAATGAGGGGTGTGGGGTCCCCAGGGAGGGAGAGAGACAGAGAGAGACAGACAGACAGACAGAGAGGAGGATCCTCAGAAAGGGGCCTGGTAACTCTCAGGTCAGAACTAGGTGGGCGGCAGCCCCTCATCTGCCTCCCTCTCTCTAGGATGGCTCCCTGACAGACCCTCCCTCTCGGTGCAGCCAGGCCCCACGGTGGCCTCAGGAGAGAAGGTGACTCTGCTGTGTCAGTCACGGAGCCCGAGGGACACCTTCTTTCTGACCAAGGAGGGGGCGGCTGACCCCCCCCTGTGGGTCAGACGACAGCCCCGAGCTCAGCAGCACCAGGCAGAGTTCTCCATGGGGCCCGTGACCTCGGCCCACGGGGGCACCTACAGGTGCTACAGCGCAAACCACAGCAGCCCCTACCTGCTGTCGCAGCCCAGTGACGCCCTGGAGCTCCTGGTCTCAGGTGAGGCCCCTGACCCCTTCCTTTCTGTGCTCACTCAGCCCAGGGCGCTGTCCCTTGGAAAGGCGGGGACACAAATAAATGAGGAGTGCAGGAGCTTCCATGGGGGGGTGGGGGAGGGTCCAGCCCCAGGGGAGTAGAAAGAGACGAGGTCTCCCCATCCTGAGTCCCTTTCTCAGAATCTGGGCCGAGATGAAGAGCAGGGAGGGCGGCGGCAGATGTGGGCGAAAGGAGGAGAAACGCGGTTAGACTGAGCGGAGGACAGACCCCTCCCCCACTCACCTCCTGCTTCTTCATCTCAGAGCCTGGGCCCCGGGGTCCCGGCCCCCCCCCCATCCTCTCCCCGGGAAAGCAGCACCCCCTGCCCCCTACCTCGCTCTGCAGGCCCCTGGGCTCACCTGGCGCCTCCAGCCCTCGCTGCTCCCCTGGGCGGGAGGGGCCGCGCAGGCTGCGGGTCGGGGGAGCTGGGCTCCCGCCCACAGCCGGGCCGGGGGCGGGGGGGCGGGGGGGCCCTCCTGCCGTCTCCTGGGCGGTTCTGGGCGCTCTGGCTGCTCCTGGTCTTTTCTGAGGACCTTCAGGCCGCGCCTCAGTGCGCAGAGTCACCACCTAGTTTACTTTATGTGGAGTCAGCACTCAAATGCCTGTAAAGCTATTCCTATTTTGATAGGAAGGAGATTAAATTCATACATTTGTTGTGGAGATTACTTCTTGTAATTCAGTCTTTTTGTTACACACACTCTAATGTGAACTTCAGGGGCACTTTGTGTGAGTAAACTGTTTGATTCTTTTTTATATTCTGAATAAGAGTAAGTGCACATAGGAAAGCTATTGCTTTCAGTATATATATTTCATGACCTATTTAGCTTCCTAAAGATTCTCTCCCTTTGGATTGTTTTTCAACTGACCCTTCTGATAGGCTGAGAAACTTGTAATAGCCACAAGTCAAAGGTAATTTCACTTATTCCAGACTGTATTTTTTTTCACTCCAAATTCCACATGGTAAAATGATGGAGTAAAATATTCCACATCTTTACCTCCAAAAAACATTTTCACTTATGCCCCAACTTATTTCAAGGCAAACTCATTAACATATGTACATTTTGTATCAAATGCACTATCAATTCTTGTTTCATTATGTTTTGAGGTTTCATTAAGATTATTAGGAATGCTTTATTTTCTTTTTCACTGAAAGATGCACATCTCCTAAAAGTCATCTTTTCTCCCTGATTTATGATCCCATAAGACACATTACCAAGGCTTCCTGGTTTCAAACATTTGGATATTAATGCAACTGAATAACATTATCGTTGATGTGCATTTTCTGAATACGGTGAGCTGATAGCACTTTTACATGGGTCTTTGTAATTAGGATAAGTCCATATTGTTTTTTTACATCTTGCCTTTTATATCAGAATGGGGAAACAGATTGACGTAATTTCCTACTTTTGGTGCTCACAAAATAGTACCATTTAGGGCCATTTCTCTGTTCCTCAAAGTTGGAAAACCACCACCGTGCACTTCCTTGGTTAGGAGGTTTGACAAACAGTGCATGGAGGTTGTGTCTTGTGGTAAGAATCACATGATTAGCCATCTACCTAGGAAACCTCCCCACACTTTTGAGAGTTTGTCTGAAAGGAGAGAGAAGACAATGGCCCTGTCCCTCTGGGCACCTGACCTGACCTCGGACCCCCTGTACCAAGCCCCTAAGTCCAAGTCCCCCTTCTCTTCTGCCCCCTCCCTGCATCCCACAGAAGAGACCCCTTTCCCTGCTGAACACCAGACGAGACCCTTCCGGGGACCGGCCTCCTCGTCACTGGCTCATGTCAAGTCTCCTCCCTCTCTCTGTCTGTCTATCCTGCTCTCTGTCTTTCTCTACACAAGCACGCAAATAATATATATTGGTCCAGGACAAACATATGTAGATATAAAGTCTGATAAATGATTTAGTGATTATGTAAGAGTAGATACATGTATAACACTACATACAGATTTATTTTATATAATGTTTTATAATAGACTCTATAAAATGTACATATACAGGATGGGGAAAATAGGATTCAAGTTGTTTGTACAAAAAATAATACAACTAATAAATGGTAATACAAAAACTAACTCTGTATTTCATGTACATACAAATGTAAACCTATTTTTCCCCACCCTGTACTTATATCTACAATATATCTACAAATATTCATCCATATGCCCATATGTCTCATCTGGTAACTGTATCTACCATGGCAGGTTTTGTTATTATATAAAAATGAATTAATAAAATAATAAATAGATAAAAATCTCCAGGTGGAGATTAAACAGCAGACCCCAGAGGGGAGGAGCCCAGGCGGGGTAGGGTAGGGAAGATGCACCCCAGAGTTCACCCCTTGTGCACCTGACACTCAGGAGCCGCTGACCCACCCTCTCCTGCATGGACCGGGGTCCCCAGGTCGTGAAAACATGGGGTCTCTCAGTGGCAGGGCCAAAGGCTTATGGGATCTGAGTCTCTTACTGAACACAGAACACACAGCTTTCAACTCTTTCTGAACTGAGATCATCTAATCACGGACCCTGAGCCCTTGGGCAAAGCTCGCTCTTGTCACGGTGACTCAGAGCCGGAGCTGGACTCGGACACCCCAGGGACACGGACGTGAAGGGGAGGATGGACCCAGGGGAGGCAGCAGAGTCCTCGAGACTGGGGGCTCCCTGACCACGGTGACCCCTGTCTCCACGTCCACAGACTCCCAGACCCAAAACTACACAGCGGGGAATCTCGTCCGCATGGGCGTGGCTGGCCTGCTGCTGCTGGTCCTCGGGGGGCTGCTGTTTCAGGCTCAGGACACCGAGAGGACGGCCCACGCTGCCGCCAGGATGTGACCACAGAGGGGACAGGGCATGAATCAGGGCGGGAGCCGAGGAGCCCACCTGATGACCCAGGACGTGGCACAAGACAGCCTGGTCCCCAGGTGAGGAAACTGCTGAGAACGTGCAGAGGAGCAGATGTAGCAGATGAGGTTTGGGGGCAGGAAACACGAGCACGTTCCTGTGGAGACGCCTCCTCGATCGCACCGTGGAGCCGTCCCTTCTCATCATCACGGACTCCCCTGCACGGTCTTTCTGTTCTCACTCTTGGGACACGAGGGGCGACTCCACGTGGCTGGTTTGCATTCGCTTCTGCACAACCCATCACGCTGCATGACGTGCATCCAAACAACACGTGGTGTCGTCATAATCCCGGAGTGGTTTTTTAAGCCCTAAAGAACAAAGTGCGGACACCTGCTACCTGGTGGGTGAACATCAGCATTCGGCACCTAAATGACAAGCCGGACAGAAAAGATCGTGTTTTCTGTGATTGAGTTTGTGCAAAATGTCCGAAAGAAGGAAACCCACACGGACAGAAGTCAGACTGGCCTGTCAGGGGCTGACGGGAGGAGAGATGGGAGACTGAGGGCTTTGCGGTACTTGGGGGCGGGGTTACACAAACTTCTTTTTAAAACTAGATAAAATTGTGTACTCACTAGATTCCAGTGTATTCTATATATTTTAAAAGGCTCAATTCTATGTTGCATGAATTTACGTCATTAAAAAGAACCTAAGTCAATCACCATGGTTTCCTGTGGGTCCTCTTCACCTTAGAAGTTCCCCCCCACGTCCCCGTGCAGCTTCATGGGAGCCGGGAGTCTCACCAGGTCCGAGATGCCTGAGATGACGGCTGGGGGGGCTGCGGGGAGAAGGGCACCCCCTGACACCGCGCGTCTGAACCCTTTTCAGAGGCCTTCCCCAGACCCTCCCTCTGGGCTGACCCAGGCCCCGTGGTCAGCAAGGGCAGCCCTGTGACCCTCTGGTGTCAGGGGTCTCTGCGGGCTGATGCCTACGGTCTGTATAAAGAGAGGGGCTCTGAGCCCCGGCTTACGAGGATCCCACAGGCCTCCAGCAACAAGACCGGGTTCCTCATTCCATCCACGAGATCACACGATGCAGGGCTATATGAGTGTGCCTACAGGGCTGGGGACACTCTGTCTGAGCGCAGTGAGCCCCTCGTCCTAGTGGTGACGGGTAAGGAGGACCCTGGTCCCCTCCCCACTGCGGGCTCCCCCTCGGAGGCTGAAGGGAACACAGTGGGGCTTTAGGGGGCCGCACCCCTCCCAGCCTGCAGCTGGGGAGGGTGGGGTGATGCTCCTCTTTAACTCACATCCTCCTTCTCCCTCAGGAGTGGACAGCGCCCCCTCCCTCGCAGGCCAGCCAAGCCCGGTGGTGGCCTCAGGGGGGAACGTGTCCCTTGTGTGTAGCTCAGGTTCCACATCCGGCCCTTTCCACCTGCTGAAGGAGGGAGGGGCTGAGCCTCTCCCCCCCACCCCACCCCCCGGACGCATGGCATCAACAGCGGTCCAACGATGGGAGGGGGCAGGCGGTCTTCCCTGTGGGCCCCGTGAGCGCCTCCCACGGGGGGACCTCCAGATGCTACGCTTCCTCCAGCTCCTACCCCCACGGGTGGTCACACCGCAGGGACCCTCTGCGCATCCAGGTCACAGGTGAGGTGGCCCGCAATTGTCTCCAATTCTCTCCCCTGCCACAAATAACTCATCTAAACATTCTGCCCAGGGACGCCGCCCTCTCCCTGTGCCCCACTCTCTCTCCGCCTCCATCAGCTTCACGGATCCCAGCCGCGCGCCCCGTCGATCCGGCCCGCGGCGTTGTGCTGGGTGACCTACTTCGCCCCGACGTGCTCAGGGCCGGCTCCGAGGGCGCAGGGTGCGTTGCCGCCGGACGGGCGGAGCACAGCCCCGCCGAGGGCCTGGGTGTGCGCCCGCCGCGCCACCCTGCTGGCCGCCGAGGTATTCGCCGACCTGCGTGGGAAGCCGCGGAGTCCCGGGGAGGCGCCGCGCCGCCCTCCACCTCCCCGTGCCCCAGCACCTGGCCCCGGTCCTGCGCCTGCACCGCCGCCGCCGCCGCCGAGAGCCACCTCTGTCCCTTTGCAAGCTGAGCCAAAGCCACTGCTACTCCTCGCCCCGCAAACTCACGCAGATGAGCGCCCTGTGGCTGCGACACGCCCGGATGCCAACCGGAAGTTGGCGCGCGGCGACCAGCTGCCCGCCCCCGCCGGATGCACACGGGGCAGAAGCGCTTCCCCTGCCCCCTGTGCTCCAAGCGCTTCACCCGCAGCGACCGCCTTCACTCGCGCGACGCCACCCCGACTGCCGCCGTAACTGCTCGGGAGCCGGGGCCCCGCAGCACCTCTCCAGGCCACTCGCTGCCCGCAGCCCGGCCGGAACCCCGGGCACAGCTCAGCCTCAGCTCAGCTCCTACCGGCTGCAGCCCAACCACGAGCTCGCCCGCCCAGAGCACCAGCAACAGGCTTGTTGTCCCGGCCCCCTTCCAGCTGTCCCCTGAGGACCCCAAGATGCCTCTGGTCCCCTCAAAAGGGCAAGGAGGAGGCCTGAGGCTGGACTGGGGCCAGTGGCCCTTGGAGATGGCTGTCCACCATGCAGGGCTGGAGCCCGTGTCTGTCAACGCCATGAACTATTCCAAAAATAAAAATAAAAATCACATCTAAAAAGAAGACAGAGAGAGGACGTTTACCAACAACTGGTCATAAACATTGAAAGATGAGGACAAGCCAGACAACTTGAGGACCCTGCCACCAGAGGGAGCCAGACGCACGAAGCCGGTGCTGCGGTCCGAGGTCCGTGAGCCCCAGAAAAGGAGCAGGACCGACAGGGAGGATCTCTCACCTGAAGGGAGGTGGTGAAGCTTAAAGGAGGGGACTGCGACGTCAAATACAAAAAGAGAACACAAGCTCCAAAGAACACGAAGGATCAAAATCTCTGCCATCGCCAAACTGCACAATAACACCCCAGTCACTGAACCCAGAGACATGGAGAGCTGCGGTTTACCCAATAGATTGTTCAAAAGAAACTCCATGAACTAAAGGCAAACCCCAAAAGGCCATTCAATAAAGTCAGGAAAGTATTAGATGGATCAAACAGAATATTCAAGAAAGAGTCAGAAATCTTAAAATAAAACCCATAATTTCTGGGGCTGAAAAATTAAAGGATTGAAATGAACAATGGTAGAGAGGGCATCAACCAAAGAACAGCCCAGGAAAAAAAAAATCAGAGGCCAATATTCTTATTGAATAGATGCAAAATGTCTCAACGGATATTAGCGTGATGATTCAAGAGCACAGTAAGCGTTGCATACATCATGATTAAATGCGGTTTAACACAGGGTCCTGAACATCGGCAAAAAGATTTCAACATGTACAATTAATAAAATTTTTAACTGCAGTAATCAATAAATGATATAAACCAGTCTCTGCTCTCACCTGGTCCCCCACAGGTTCCCCGGGGCTGACCTGGGAGTCAGGTTCACCTTGGGCTGTGGCCGCTGCCCCCGCCCCATGGCGTCCACTCGCGCAGACTCAGCACCTGCTCAGCCTTCTGCCCACCAGGGCTGGTCCAATGGGAGCCTCACACGCACGCACGGGACAGGCACCCATGGCTGACATACACGACTCGACCTGTGTCAGGACACACAGGGGAGACTGCTCACTGCTGACCATGGACTTGGGCCAGTGGGCAGACAGCCCAGAGCCCGCACAGAAACACGGGGAAGGGACCACGGTCCCGCCTTCACCTGCATGATGACCCCCTTCCGGGGAGGACCTGGGGTCCCTCTCGGTCCACTCAGGGGGCAGTCTCCTCCCTATGACCCGTGGAGAGTCCCAGCCACTGGGGGCCACTCGGTTTCAGCCTCTGTTCTCCACTGTGGTTCCCTCTGTTGGGAAACTTTCATTTCTCTTTCCTGCACACGTCGGTGCCTCCATACTTGAGCGCCATGGTGAGTAGCTGCGCTTGGTATTCGGAGCAGACAAGGTCCCGAGCGGGTGCAACAATCCTGCCCTTGACCCGGGCACCTTGATCCTCTCATGTCCCAGCCCATTCACACCTTCACCGGGTCCGGAAATGGGCGTCTCCCTCCCATGGCCCAGCACCACTGGTCCCCAGCCACCGTGGGGACTGCGGTTGTGACAACGTGGTCCAGAGGGGGCAACTGGACCATGACCACACAGAGTCCTCGGGCATTGGGTGATGGTTATATAAATAAATACTTGTTAAAAGTAAACATCAGGGCTCCTACCCAAATCAATGTCCCCTAAGGCTTGAAGGCAGGACCACAGCATGAGGAAGAGGCTGTAGCCAGGAAACAGGGGGCACTGAGGGGGCAGGAATCGCTCAGAGGCTTTTTTCCCAGAAGGTGGGATGGAAGCTGTTTCTAAGAAGAAAAGGAGAAGTCCGTTTGGTGGCTGGGGGAGAAAAAAGCCACACTCTGGGGCCAGGGGAAGGGGCGTGTTTCCTTCCCCCACTCCCCTGTATGTGTCCTTTGTGCTCATGGTCACAGCGACACGCGCCTGGACGGCACAGTGAGAAGGAGACCGTGTCTCTGCTGCTCTGAGCTCTGCAGGCACAGGGACCCCCATCTCCCTGAGCATCTCCAGGGCCTGGGTGACCACTGCCCATGGAGAGGACCCACGGGGAGGTGCCGAAGGACAAGCAGAGTGTGAAGGGGACCCCGTGGGGGAGGTTCTGACCTGGAAGGACGTGCCTGGGTCACCTCACCTGCAAGGGGCATCTCAGGAGGCTCAGGGTCTGTTTCTTCCTCCGTAGTGAATGTGGGAACCAGGCTCCTGGGGAGACACTGTCCCCCCTCCTGAGGCTGACATGACAACTCCCTTGACAGGGACGTCCAGCCTCCCAGTGGCCACACCCTGTGTATCTGTCTACTCTGAGGACACTGCAGTCTCTTCCTCCTGCACAGCTGGGTTCAGAGAGGAGACGCCATGCCCCCCACGGTCACGGTCCTGCTCTGCCTCGGTGAGTGTCGGGGGGGAGGGGGAGCCCTGCTCTGTCAGGACCCAGGGCTCAGGACGCTCCCGAGGAGGGGGGCTCTGCTCAGGACTCAGGGCACATCCCTCACGGGGACTCTCTTGCAGGGCTGAGTGTGGGCCTGGGGACCCCGGTGCCGGCAGGTGAGTCACTCCAAGTGTCTCAGGTCCCAATCCACGTAGGAGACCGAGTGCTACCCTACAGGCAGCTGGGGATGGAGAACAAAAGTAAACGTACAGTGGACACCAGTGTGGGTCCTGGGGCTGAGATCTGGGGACAGGTATCGGGGAATGTCTTGTGTCCCAGCCTCTGATTCCTTCCAGGGACCCTCCCCAAACCCATTGTCTGGGCTGAGCCAGGCCCTGTGATCCCCTGGAGGAGCCCTGTGAGTATCTGGTGTCAGGGGCCCCTACAAGCTAAGGAGTTTCATCTGTACAGCGAGAAAAGCCAAGGGCCCTGGGACAGGCAGAAGCCACAGAACCCCAGGAACAAGGCCAAGTTCTCCATCACACACATGACAAATGACACTGCAGGGAGATATTACTGTTATTATTTTGGCAAAAATATCTGGTCAAAGCCCAGTGACCTCCTGGAGCTGGTGGTGACAGGTGAGAGGACACTCAGGGGTCCCTGCCTCAGGCTCAGGGAGGGGGATGCTCTCAGGGTGCCTCCCCCTCACAGCCCAGCCCTGGGGGAAGTGAGGAGGTTGAGCCCCATTTACCACGCTGCCTCCTTCTCTCCTAGGATCCTACAGCAAACCCAGCCTCTCAGCCCTGCCCAGCCCTGTAGTGACTTCAGGAGGGAACGTGACCCTCCAGTGTGGCTCACGGGAAGGCTTTGACAGGTTCATTCTGACGAAGGAAGGAGAACGCAGGCTCTTCTGGGCCCTGGACTCACAGCGACACCCCAGTGGGCAGTCCCAGGCCCTGTTCCCTGTGGGCCCCGTGATGTCTGTCCACCGGTGGAGGCTCAGGTGCTATGGCTGTTACACGGACAGACCCCAGGAGTGCTCACAGCCTAGTGACCCCCTGGAGCTGCTGGTCTCAGGTGAGGAAGTCCCGTCTGGGACACATCCATGGATTGAAGCACCAGCCAGGTTACTGGGGACTTTGCTGGGAGCGGAGCCCACGTGAGAGGTGGGGAGAGGGGCGCACAGGGGCTCCTGGGCCAGAGGCACAGAGAGAGACAGTGGGACCTGGGGCCAGGCCAGGGGGAGGGTCCATGGGAGGGGCAGCCCCTGTCACTCACCTCTGGTCCCTGCAGGAGGCTCAGGGAAGCCCTCCCTCCTGACCCAGCAGGGCCCCATCGTGGCCCCTGGACAGAACCTGACCCTCCAGTGCCGCTCGGACCTCGGCTATGACAGGTTCGCTCTGTCCAAGGAGGGGGCACAGGCCCCCCGCCAGAGCACTGCCCTGCAGCCCCGGGCGGGGCTCTCTCAGGCCGACTTCCCCCTGGACACGGTGCGCGGCTCCCACGGGGGCCGGTACAGGTGCTACGGGGGACACAGCGTCTCCTCCGAGTGGTCGGCCCCCAGTGACCCCCTGGACATCCTGGTGGCAGGTGAGGTGTCAGCGGGTTCAGTCAGGGACCCAGAGTCTGGTCAGGCCCTGCTGGGGGTCTCAGGTGGTGATGGCCAGGACAAGGGGTGTGGGGTCCCCAGGGAGGGAGAGAGACAGAGAGACAGGGGATGGGAGGGGGAGGGGGAGATGCAGAGAAAACAGAGACAGAGGGGAGGGTCCTCAGAAAGGGGCCTGGTGACTCTCAGGTCAGAACAGGGTGGGCGGCAGCCCCTCACCTGCCTCCCTCTCTCTAGGATGGCTCCCTGACAGACCCTCCCTCTCGGTGCAGCCGGGCCCCATGGTGGCCTCAGGAGAGAAGGTGACCCTGCTGTGTCAGTCACGGAGCCCGAGGGACAGCTTCCTTCTGACCAAGGAGGGGGCGGCCAACCCCCCCCTGTGGCTCAGACGACAGCCCCGAGCTCAGCAGCACCAGGCAGAGTTCTCCATGGGGCCCGTGACCTCGGCCCACGGGGGCACCTACAGGTGCTACAGCGCAAACCACAGCAGCCCCTACCTGCTGTCGCAGCCCAGTGACGCCCTGGAGCTCCTGGTCTCAGGTGAGGCCCCTGACCCCTTCCTTTCTGTGCTCACTCAGCCCAGGGCGCTGTCCCTTGGAAAGGCGGGGACACAAATAAATGAGGAGTGCAGGAGCTTCCATGGGGGGTGGGGGAGGGTCCAGCCCCAGGGGAGTAGAAAGAGACGAGGTCTCCCAATCCTGAGTCCCTTTCTCAGAATCTGGGCCGAGATGAAGAGCAGGGAGGGCGGCGGCAGATGTGGGCGAAAGGAGGAGAAACGCGGTTGGACTGAGCGGAGGACAGACCCCTCCCCCACTCACCTCCTGCTTCTTCATCTCAGAGTCTGAGCCCCTGGGTCCCGGCCCCCCCATCCTCTGCCCGGGAAAGCAGCACCCCCTGCCCCCTACCCCGCTCTGCAGGCCCCTGGGCTCACCTGGCGCCTCCAGCCCTCGCTGCTCCCCTGGGCGGGAGGGGCCGCGCAGGCTGCGGGTCGGGGGAGCTGGGCTCCCGCCCACAGCCGGGCCGGGGGGGGCCCGGGGGGCCCTCCTGCCGTCTCCTCGGCGGTTCTGGGCGCTCTGGCTGCTCCTGCTCTTTTCTGAGGACGTTCAGGCTGCGCCTCAGTGCGCAGAGTCACCACCTAGTTTACTTTATGGGAGTCAGCACTCAAATGCATGTAATGCTATTCCGTATGTTCATAGGGAGAGATTTAATTCAAACATGTGTTGCAGAGAATAACTCCTGTTACTGTTAAGTTTTCTTGTGACACACATTTCAACTGCGGCTTCAGTTAACTTGAGTTGCACTTTGATGGGTACTTGTAAAACGGGGTAAATTTATAGCCCACTGTAGGAAGTGCACATCTCATAATGTAATGTGTGAGTACGCTGTTTGATTCCTTTATATCATCTTAGTAGCAGTAAGGAAAGCTATTGGTTTGGGCGCGTTTATTTCATGACCTGTTGAGCTCCCTGAAGTCTCTCTCCCTTTGGGTTGCTTTTCAGTTCATCCCTCTGAGATACTGAGAAAATTACAGTAGCCACAAGTCAAAGGTCATTTCACTTACTCCAGATTATATACCTATTTCTCTTGCTCCACATTCCAGAAGATTAAAATGACCAAGTAAAATATAACACAGCTTTACCTCTGAGAAACAATTTCATTTATACCCCACATTATTTCACAGCAAACCCATTAAGGTATCTGCATTTTATATCGAATGCACTATTGACTTTATGTTTCAATATGTTTTTCTATTTCATTAGGGATTCTTTAGAATTATTTTTTCTTACTGACAGATACACATCTCCTAAAAAAATCATCTTTTCTCTCTGACTTATAACCACATGAAACACATTTCAAAGGTTTCTTAGTTTCAATCATTTGGATATTGATGCAAATGAATAACATTTATTGTCTGTGTGCGTTTTTTGAATTATGTGAGCTGACAGAATTTTTGCATGGACATTTGGAATAGGGTAAGTCAACAATTTTTTTTACATCTTGTTTTCTATGGAGAAACAGATTAACGTAATTTCCTACTTTAGGTGCTCACAAAAATACTACCATTTGGGGCAATTTCTCTGTTTCTCAGAGTTTGAAAACCTCAACTGTGTGTTTCCTTGGTCAGCAGCTTTGATAAGCAGTGTGTGGAGGCTATGTTTTGGGGTAAAAATCACATGATTAGCTGCCCATCCATGAAATCTTGCCAGACTCTCCAGAGTTTGTCCAAAAGGAGAAGAAAATGCCTGCCCCTTCTGGGCACTTGACCTGACCTCTGACCTCATGTTCCAAGGCCCCGAGTCCCAGTCCCCCTTCTCTTCTGCCCCCGCCCTACACCCCACAGATGAGACCCCTTTCCCTGTTGAAGAGCAGACTAGACCCTTCCGGGGACCGGCCCCCTCCTCACTGGCTCATGTCAACTCTCTCTCCCTCCATCCCCGCCCCTGTGCGCACACACACAATATATTGGTACAGCACAAGTACATGTAGATATAGGTGATGATTTATAATTTAGTATTTATGTAACAGTAGATGTGTGTAACTATAAATGCAGACTCGTTTAAAATAATGTTTTTAATACACTCTATAAATTGTACATCTACAGGTTGGGCAAAAGTAGGTTTAAAGTTCTTTGTACAAAATATAATACAACAATTAATACTCATTTTACAATAAATAACTGTGTTTCATGAAAGCAAAACTATAAACCTACTTTTGTCCCACCCTGTATTTACTCTTATATTGATATTAAATTTATATATCTACATATATTCATCCAATGCCCATATTTCTGATCTGGAAAGTCTGTCTACCATGGTAGGTGTTGTTATAATATAAAAATGAATAAAACAATATAGAGATGAAGATTTCCAGGTAACAATTAAAGTGCAGACGCCAGAGGGGACGGGCCTGGGCGGGGTGGGGTGAAGAAGACGCACCCCAGACTTTCACCCCTTGTGCTCCTGACACTCAGGAGCCCCTCACACCAACCCCTCCTCCATGGACCAGGGTCCCCAGATGTTGAAATCATGGGGTCTCTCAGGTGCAGGGCATTAAGCTTATGGGCTCTTGAGTCTGCGACTGAACACAGAACACACAGCTCTTGATTGTTTCTCAACTCACTTCATTTTGTCACGGACCCTGAGCTCTTGGGCACAACTCGCTCTTGTCACTGTGACTGAGAGGTGGAGCTGCATTCAGACACCCCAGGGACACTGGTGTCAAGGGGCGGAGGGAGGCTGGGGGAGGCAGCAGAGTCCTGGCGATTGGAGGCTCCCTGACCCCGGTGACCCCTGTCTCCACGTCCACAGACTCCCAGACCCAAAACTACACAGCGGGGAATCTCGTCCGCATGGGCGTGGCTGGCCTGCTGCTGCTGGTCCTCGGGGGGCTGCTGCTTCAGGCTCGAGACACCGAGAGGACGGCCCACGCTGCCGCCAGGATGTGACCACAGAGGGGACAGGACAGCGTTGAGGGCGGGAGCCGAGGAGCCCATCTAAGGACCCAGGAGGTGGTGAAGGAAGGTCTAGGCCACAGGTGGGGAGACTGTCTGCCGAGAATGTGCAGGGGAGCGGACATGGCAGACGAGGTTTGGGGGCAGTAAAACAATGAGCCGTGTTCCCCTGGAGACCCCCCCTCCATCCCACTGTGGGGCTGTCCCCTCTCCTCATCACAGACTCCCCCTGCCTGTCCTTCTGTTCTCACCCCGTGACGTGTGGGGCTGCCCCACGTGGCTGCTTTGGACCCACATCTATACACCCCTTCATGCTGGATCCCACTCATATAAACGACATGTGATTCTTCACGCCCGCGAGTGGTTTTTAAGCCACAAAGAGCAAAGTGCTGACACCTGCTACCTGGTGGGTGAATGTCAACATTCTGCAGCTAAATGGCAGACGTCAGACAGAAAAGATCATGTTTTCTGTGATTGACTTTGTGTGAAATGTCCAGGAGAAGGAAACCCACAGAAACAGAAGTCAGGTTGGCTTGTCAGGGGCTGACCAGGCAGAGAGATGAGAGACTGAGGGTTTTGTGGTATTTGGGGGAGCGGTTATGCAAATTTTTAATACAACTAGATAAAATTTGTGGTCGAGACATTGTGTATTTACTACATTCTAGTGAATTCTACATTTTAAAAGGCTCCAGTCTAAGTTACAGGGATGTATGTCATTAAACAGTAACGCAAGCCCATCCCCATGGTTCCCTGTGGATCCTTTTCACCTTAGAAGTTGCCCCACGTCCCCGTGCACTTTCACGGGACCCAGGACCCCCACCAGGTCCGAGATGCGCTCCGTGCCCTGTGCTCAGGGCTCAGCCCCTGGTGGGGTTCCCACCCCCACTCCTGAGAGGGGCTGAGGCCAGGACACAGGACGAGCCGCCGCGTCCCTGTCTCCTCTCAGTCGGGGCTCACGTGCCATTCGGCCAAGGACGCCCTAGAGCTTCTGATTCCCCCTCACGGCTTGGGGGACACAGATGTGGCTTCCCAGTGGCCCTTCCTGCCACACGTCTCTCATGCCCGCGTCTACGTCAGGCCCCAGGAATGACTCCGATGGAGCCTCTTCGTGTCCCAGGCTCTGCTGACCCTCCCAACAACCGTGAGGCTGAGCTTCCAGCCTTGTCTGCAATGAGGGAAAGGGAGAGGGGAGTGACTGGCTCAGACAGACGGTCAATAAATGCTTCCCCGTGTCTTAGATTAAAACCTGCGAATAGTCTGCAACGAGGGCTTTTGCCCAGCACATGGGGGTGGACTGAGCAGGGTCAGAGGGCGGGTTATCCCCTCCCAGAGCAGGGCCCTGAGGAGGCAGACATGCCCCAGGGGCCCGGAAGGGAGACCTGCAGAGAAGGTCTCCTGCCCACAGATGCAAGGGAGGCAGAGAGAGGAAGCGCCAGGGACAGGCAGAACCACAGGCCCGGCCAGGGGGGCAGGTGGATCCGGCTGTGGGTGAGGTGACGCTGCTGTAACCCTGGCCCCACGACTGCGGCCGTCCACGGGGCGGTCAGTCCTGGGACGGCCCCATTGGCTCCCCAGGCCACCCAGGCAGAGAGGGGAGGGGCCTCAGCTCTTCCCTCTCCTGCCCCCACACGATGAACACACCCCCACTCTGACCCGGAGCCCCCCTCTCTGCCAACCAGTCCCCTCCTCAGTTTGACCCACGTCAAGACCCAGGACATCCTGTTGGCGGGACCCCGACAGCCTCCTCTCTGGCCCCCGGCAGACCCGCCCTCCCAGCTGAGGGGCTGGACTCTCACGCACCTGAACTTACCTGTCCCGGACCCGCCCCGCACAAAGCCTCCCCCCAGGTCCCCACCAGCTCCAGCAACACCCAGGCAGCTCCACCTGACGGTCCCTGGGGCTGCAGATCGGGCTCCCTGCCCACCAGGCCCTTCCCATGCCCACCTCCCTCCCAGACTCACACCTGGGTCAGACCACACTGGGCTTCTCGTGGATGCCTCCCAAGACAATCTGGTCAGTGCTCGTCTCTGCACTGTTCATTGGACAAGACAACCACAGAGAAACATCCCTGCCTCTTTTCCCTCAGCGTCAGAAATATTTGTGGTATGAGATTTGTGTAGGGTTTCCTGAGAAATTCTCATAAACCACATAGAATGCTGATCCGCTCATCACTTTGGTGTTAGATTAGTGTTGGGTTTTATCACAGTTTATCGTCCACACCTCACTCCTACAGCCCGTCCCCACAGAGCGGTGTCTTCTCAAAGCAGCGATCTGCTCACACGTTCCTTTACCACAAAGGTTTCCATTATCTTAAAGTTCACACGCAGGAGTCCCCGCAGGCAGCAGAGGCCCCGTAGGACCAGGACACACCACACCCTGGTGACTCAAAAACTTAGAATAAACACCTTCTTCCCGGTGGAGGGTTCTCTCGCCTCCCTGTGCTGACCCCTAAGGTGTTCTGGTCGCTCCCTCACCTGCAGGTCCCCACACTCCCCGACGTCCACCTGTTACGGAGTCTCTCTCTGTGCTCCATTGTTTCCTTCTCTGAAACTTACCAAAACGACGCCCACATCACCTATGGCCTAAGTAGTTGCACTGTCCACTGTCACTAATCAGCACTGCGTGTGTCCCGGGGCAGAATCGGTCGCCTTCCCCAATGAACCTCAGTGCTGGACAGGGCAACAGCTCAGCATACCTCTGTTGGTTGCCAGGATGGAGAAACTTTACGTTAAAGTTTCTCAGGTACATGAAGTGAATTGCCCAAGGTTATGCGGGTTCCACAAAAGGCAGAGATAGAATTGGAATAGAAAGTGGGGTGCTCCTCTCCAGCCGGGCAAACTCTCCCCTTATGTTCCAGGACAGGCGTCACACGAGGTGCAGGCAGAGCATGTGGGGTCTGCTGAGACTCAGACCTGGTCTCAGGTCCCAGAACCTGCTGTCTCCTCGGCCACCCTTCAGGGAGGGCAGACTGCAGCTTAGGATGAAACTGTGACTTGTCACAGGGAACTGGGACCTTGTCACACCTCTGTGTCCATCTGACGTGCTGGGCTCTGCGGGCTTCAAACATCACGGGTATCACTGGGAACCCCGGGTGACTCGTGATGACCCCGACTCTCATCGTTCCTCTCTGTCTCAGTGAGTTTTGGGGAAAGGAGAAGGATGGGGCCTCTCCCCTCCCAGGTCCATGACGCAGGAGGCTCAGTGGGGCAGAAATTCCAAGGAGAGAAGGTATTTGTTCAGCCCAGGTCAGACCCCAGCGCTCAGGGCCCTGACCAGACCTGGAGCCTCTGCGTGTGGGTTGAGGGATGATCTCACGGGGACTCCCTTCCAGGGCTGTGTGGGGGCCCCTGGGACCAGGTCCGGGCAGGTGAGTCCTCCCCCTGACCTCCTGCTTCAGCACAATGACCCCTGGGCAGCTGGGGACACACAGTGGGTCTGCACAATGGTGACCAGTCTGGGGGGGGGGCCTTGGAGTGACAGCTAGGGGAAGTGCGGGGAGAAGGGCACCCCCTGACACCGCGCGTCTGAACCCTTTTCAGAGGCCCTCCCCAGACCCTCCCTCTGGGCTGACCCAGGCCCCATGGTCAGCAAGGGCAGCCCTGTGACCCTCTGGTGTCAGGGGTCTCTGCGGGCTGATGCCTACGGTCTGTATAAAGAGAGGGGCTCTGAGCCCTGGCTTACGAGGATCCCACAGGCCTCCAGCAACAAGACCGGGTTCCGCATTCGATCCACGACCTCACACCATGCAGGGCCATACGAGTGTGTCCACAGGGCTGGACGCACCCTGTCTGAGCGCAGTGAGCCCCTCGTCCTGGTGGTGACGGGTAAGGAGAACCCGGGTCTCCTCTCCTCCTCAGACATTGAAGGGGACAGAGTATGGCTTTAGGGGGCCTCACCCTTCACAGCCTATATCTGGAAATGTTGGGCTTGTACTGTCCAATGTCACGAATCAGCACCGTGTGACAGTCCCCTTAACTCAGATCCTCCTTCTCCCTCAGGAATGGACAGCACACCTTCCCTCTCAACCCACTCTAGCCCCGTGGTGGCCTCAGGAGGTTGCCAGGAGCTACACATGTCCCTCTCGTGTAGCTCAAAGTCCCTATCGGGCCCTCTCCACCTGCCGCACAGGGAGGCGCTGAGCCGCCCGGAAGCATGGAATCAGAATGGAGGCCCGGGGCTGGGAGGTTTTTGTACCAGACCATCTTCCCCATGGGCCCTGTGAGCTCCTCCCATGTGGGGACCTACGGACGCTATGCTTCTACCTCCTACCCCACACAGGAGTCACAGCCCAGGGACCCTCTGCCCATCGAGGTCACAGGTGAGGTGGTCCACACTTGTCTTCCGTTCTCCCCTGTGCCCAAACAATTGATCTAAACCTTGTGCCTAGTAAAGCCCATTAGGTCGTGGGGGTCAGTGACACTAGTTTCTTGGGGACAGAACCACAGGCGGAAGGCTTAGGCAGAGACACGTGAGGACTCTCCCTGCAGCCCCAGTGGGCAGTGGGTGGGTGTGTCCCCTGAGGGCCAATGACCCTTCTCCCCCGGCGAGTACAGGTCGCCCTCCCTCTGGGCCCAGCCAGCTCCCTGCTGCTGCCTGGGGACAGCCTGACCCTCCACTGTCACTTGGAGCCCGGCTTTGACAGATTCGCTCTGACCAAGGACGAGGGGCCCACAGCGCACCAGTGTCTCCAGGGACAGCACAGTCCCGACTTCCCCCTGGGCCCTGTGACCCGCACCCACAGGGGCGGATACAGGTGCAATAGCGGACACAGCATCTCCTATGCGTGGTCGGCCTCTAGCGCCCCCCTGGGCAACATGCACAGATGATGTATCATAGAGTTTTGTACTTGAAACTTCTGTAATATTCTCAAGATTCCATTTATTGTTTTTTTAGAGCGGGGAAGGGATGGAGAAAGGGAGAGGAAAATAGATTTGTTGCCTGTAGCACGCCCTCCACCACCCTCAGCCTGCGACATGGCCCGCAGAACAGCCGTG